GTTCAGAAAAAATATTGTCAGGTTACAAAAACAATTTCGCAGTACAAGATGAAGCTAGCATACGTAGCCGGCAGGTGAAACAGAGTGACTTTTAGTTTAGCCTGACGAAAAGAAAAAAAAAAAACACTGCCATAGGGATGATGAAAAATGGCCACACACACGCACGTGCACGCACACACACTGTTTTTGCGCATATATTGATGCAGGCATTTGTGCTTCACCTTGTTAGTCGCACAAGGAATAGAGTCATCTAAAATTAGCTGCGCCGCTTGAGACCCAGCAGGTAGGTAGCGCCCCGTGCTAATAGATCCTGGAGGTGAAGTGCCCATTAGCTCCAAAGGCGTATTCACCTCTAAACAGATGTTTTTGTGCAAGTTTAAAACGGAAGGAATGCCAAATGGTCACGGAATATCTGCGCCGGTGTAGGTTAGGTTGTCAAACAATAACAACAATAGCAAATCCTGCAGTTTAGGTGGACTGGATATGGCAACGCGTTCGCCCACACAGTCTGAGATGGTCTGTCTGTCAAAACCATGTCGAAGCTTAGCCAGCCGAGCTAATGAGGCTAGCTCCTGCCTCGAGGTTTTTAGCTTGTTCACAAAAATGCTAACATGAGGCCGACTTGACACCAGCTAACAAGGCTAGCTATGTACTCCTGGTGCCAATATTTTTGTAATTTCAGTAAACTTCACATTTGGCTGTCAGCTGAAACGCTGACATCACGCAATTGTTAGCAGACAAATTTAGCCAGCCTGGCTAATCCACGAACAGAACCACGAAGGGACTCGAACCCTCAATCTTCTGATCCGAAGTCAGACGCCTTGTCCATTAGGCCCGTGGTCATGCGACCATCCCTCTTTTCCAGGGTATTTCACCTAAAAATGAATGCAAGAACGGTTTCCTGATGCACGAGAAGTTAACGCTGGCCATTGAGACCAAGGTTTTAGGATCGTCGTAATGTTCTTGAAGAACTTTGAGTGTTTTTTTTTTTTTTTTTCGACCCTGCTCTCTGCAGTTGCCTGTGTTTGTCTTACGTAAATCCAAACCTGCACGTGATCAACAACCATCCAGTATTAATCCAGATCTGTAATGGAGACTTCACTTGCGCTTCCTTACATCGCATCACTTATTTATATCACTTTTAGTTCACTTTGATGCAAGCAAGTCTTGTAATTGCCTGCACCTCAGTCATCATGTTTCCTTGATCAAATTTTAATCCGTGTGTGAATTATGCATCGCCACTGCATAGTGAACTTACGCTTGGAATTTTTCTTTCAAAAACAAAATCTTAGGCTAAAAAAAAAAAAAAA